GATGTCCCCATTTCTTAATGTGAATTGTACTGTTTTAACATTCTGTATTTAAAAAATAAATATCTGGAATTGACATCTGTGGGTTCAGAATATGAATTAACAAAGGGCTTGTTAAACCAGTTGTACTTTTTGGGTCATTTGCAGTTAGTGCAAATGGATTTCATCGGTTCTTGTGATCTAGACTCATTCTTAAAAGAAGGTACAAGTTTTACATTCTGACCAGTGGTTTTGTGAAGTTAGTCGAGGTTTATCTGAATTAGATGAATTACAATTAGGTAATTTCCTCTGAGCAAAAGAGCTATAAACAAGAAAACAGGAAATTTTTCAAATTCTTAAACATTCCAAGTAGAAATGGCTAGGCTCTTTACATAAGAGATTTTGTACCACCTGTAGGTTCTTTTGAGAAAAAGAGTTAAATTGTTGTCAGAAACTATTGAAATGTTCTTGGGCGTAGAAATCACAGTCTTTGCTTTCTGTTCCCTTTTCCTGACACAGTTGGCACACAGTCATTACAATCTGATGAAGGAGAAAATGTCAGGTAAAGACTTTAGTACCTTGGTCAAGCAGATGAGTTACAAAAACGAAAGAAGAAAAACTATAATAAGCCTCAACCTTCACAGAGCAGGCAACTTTCTTTTCATTTTTTGTTCCTTATCCCTGGACAAAGTCTTGCCCTGGACGTTTCTAGTTACAGAATTCCTTCCTTCCATCTTCCCTTCCAAGCAGGAGACCATGTATGAGGGGAGAGTGGAATGATAAGTTAGGGCAGGGTAGGCCAGCTGACAACAGAGTGTGTGAGCATGTGAGGGAGGCACAGCGAGAAATCCCGTGTGTGGTGTTACGGGAGCCCTGGAATGCTTCCACTGTCTCTGCTCCAAGGTAACAACAAGAAGGGCAGTGAGCCCGTGATTCAGGACTCCTCTTACCTGGCAGGCTTCTCAGACTGAGTGGTCTACTCTGACCTGTATTGATTGAGCGTCTCCTGTAAGGAACCAGGTGGGCAGCCAGAGCGGTGACCATGAATTGACTTCTGTCGAGCCATCGTATGTCCTTTGTACTCTTGTTTGCTGGTTTGGTAGAGAGCCAGATAGAAAGCAACCTTAATGAGCTAAATGGGTAAGGGGCATTAAGGAATCTACTGAAATCACTGCTTCACTATATACTAACTAATTTGGATGTAAATTTTAAAAAATAAAAAATAAAGTTAAATCAAAAAAAAAAAAAGAAACTACAAACCTACAATTACCAACTGGGAGTATATCACTTAATTTTTATATTTACAAAATGCTACAGTTTATTTTTCTCAAATTGTTTCAAATTATCAAGAAACTAATAAATGAATACTATAAAAATGCAAAAAAAAAAAAAAAAAGCAACCTTAATGAAAGACATGTTCTCTTTTTCATTAATCCTCAGACCTAAATCACTCTCAGTATCCAACCTAGTTTCAGAGGACACAGAAACAGTGGCATCATTGCCCTTCTCTGCATCTTGTCCCTGCTGTTCCCATATGGATGCTGTTGTGATATGTGCAGTGAAGGTTGTCCTTCTCACACCACATCTTGTCTGCTTGCTGGGAGACCAGTGAATGAGTCAGATCCCAGCACCCACACAAGTCCTTGCCCTATTGTCAGAAGTAGGAGTTTTCTTCTTACTGGTCCAGGTCCCCTCAAGATGTCATATAGAAGAAAATACAGCGAAATACAACAAAACCAGAACTTCTCATTTTGCGGTCAGTGGTTGCAGACTGGTGTTTTTATTTTCTTTAAAAATACTTTTTTAAAAATAACCTTTTATCATTATAGAAGCAGTACATAAACACTGTAGAGAATTGGAAAATTCAGGCTAGCAAAAAGAAAAACGTCACATCCACGCCATGCATGACTACCGTTTACACCTTGGTGCATACCTTATTTTCCCTGCGTGAGCATGGTTACCCACGTGCTTACCTGGATGAGACACATTGAGTACCTGCTGTTTGTAACCTTTTTTTTTTTTTTTT